TGAAATTAAAACCAACATTAAAACTAGTATGTAGAACAAATGAACATGTACTGAAATTAAAACCAATCAACATTAAAACTAGTATGTACAACAAATGAACATGTACTGAAATTAAAACCAACATTAAAACTAGTAAATACAACAAACAACAATGAGTGTGTGCTGTAATTATATCCAACATTAAAACTAGTAAATACAACAAATGAACAGTGTGTACTGAATTAAAAACTAGCACTTACAAGAAACAAGACAGACAACAAGTACAGAAATTAAAAGAAATGTCAGAAATAATATGCATGGAACAAAATAAAGGATATGCACAAAGTCTTCAATTAAAAAAAAGAAGGCTAAGTAACATTTTAAAAAAAACCATAAACTTCAACTGCTAAGAATGGCAATGTTATAATTTGTTTTTATTACTAAATCAGTACAAGAAAACTACCCAAGCAATCTAACTTTCAATTCAAATGTATAATAAACAGTATTTCAAGCACTTGTCCACCGTTTTCCTCGTTTGTTGCCTAGTGGTGGTTTCTGAAGCTGAAAAGTTTCATTTTGCACTGGAAGAGGTGTTCCTGGAGCTGTGCTTCCAAACGTACTCGTGCTCAGTCCACTTCCGCCTGGATAACTACCTAATGGTAACGGAGTCAATACTTGTTAAGAAGTTCCAGACCATAATTTTCTGTCTCTTTACATTTCATAATTATCGAAGAAAGACAAATAACAACTCAATTAACATAAACTTTTAACACGATCATTAAGCTTAGTTTTGGCTAACTGTTGATAACAGTAGTATTCTTTGTGTGTTAATACTTAAGATGATGATATATTTCTAGGTTTAGCGTGTAAGATAGCTACATTGTGTGATATAGAAGTTTTCTTTTACCAATATTATCAGCGTATTTCTGGTTCTATTCCCTAGTATTAGAGCAAGCGAATAATTTGATTATCTTTGGGCTTGAATTACATTGATTAGTGTCATGAAAATGATCAACTAATCAAAATTTTGACATTATGATTTTGTCTTATTGTTTCAATTAATTCAACCACGTTCATCCTAGGGCCAACACGGCCAGATAATTAATAAGGTTGTCTCATAATTCGATGGTCTTGGATGCGATTTATTTTGCAACCAAAATAAACTCATCCTTTCAGACACGGTGTACGTGTTTCTACATTTTTTGAATTATGATACAGCTGCTAATACCATCCCTAATTTTGAACTTTCAACCAGAGGAAAGGAAATTTGACAGCATCATTCGTCACCAACTCTTGGGCTAATCTTATACCAAATAACAGAGGAACTGACCTAACATTATAAGTAAATGCCCTAGGGGAGTTATAATGTAACAATCCTGTTCTCATAAGGTAAACACTCTAATCATCAGGTTGTGTTGGCCTAGGGAGTTATAATGTAACAATCCTGTTCTTACAAAGTAAACATCAGGTTGTGCTGGGCTAGGGAGTTATAATATAACAATCTTATTCTTACAAGGTAAACATCAGGTTGTGCTGACCTAGGGAGTTATAATGTAACAATCCTGTTCTTACAAGGTAAACATCAGGTTGTGCTGACCTAGGGAGTTATAATGTAACAATCCTGTTCTTACAAGGTAAACATCAGGTTGTGCTGACCTAGGGAGTTATAATGTAACAATCCTGTTCTTACAAGGTAAACATCAGGTT